CCCCCCAAAAAAAAAAACAGCGACCGAAATTTTTTACCACTTGCGTCAACCCGTTCTACTAAAAATAAAAAAGTTTTCAGTACCACGAAAGATTAACCCACTTTCGTGAATCACCCACCAATCACTTTCGAGTTTAAAATTGCAATTGAAGATGATTGACCAACCTATCATTCAGTCATCAATTATACGGGCAATTATTGACACAGGTTTATAACCGATCATTCTCTTCATTCATGGCATCTGAAATTTCCCTCAAAAACAGTACTCTGGTTAATTTTTTTCATCAATTCTTAATTCCATAACTAAGCTCAGTGCACACTGTTTCTGACAGAGGCTCAATTCCTCCCGGGGCCACGCTATGTTACTTTAACAATAACAAAACGAAGACAAGAGTGGAAATTCAATACGCGGAAGAAGAAGATTGCATTTTGGAAAAGAAAAGGAAATAAAAAGGAAGCCTTTAGCCCACCACATATCTATCTTCCAACTTTTTCCAACTCTCAATCTGGGTCGTTGGTATTTGGTGTCTCTTTCAACCTTCCATACAAGCTCTCCTTCGCCCTTATCTCTTTCCTCGATTGCTCTCTGTCCAATTTTTTTTTTTTTTTTTCGTATCCTGCTGCTGCTGACAGAGCCTGTTGGATCTTTGATTTGTTTTTAATGCTTATTCTAAGTTCTGGGTTTGTTGGTGAGTGCCTCTAAGCATGTGGGTTTTTATTCTCTGCCTTCCTAACTAGGGCACATGTTGATAATTTTTAATATTCTAAGGGCGTGATTTTGGGGATAGGTCTTACTGGCCCTATAGGGAAAGCTGCCCTGGGTACGAACTTGTACATTTCTCTTGTCAAACCAAAAATGATGGCTTCCTTACATTATCATGGAGCTCCAATTGATTTTTCCTAGTCTCGAATTGTTAGTCTGCTTCATGCGTGTAATGCAGAGACGGGTATGCTCTGTTTGTTATAAGTGTGTGTAGTGTGTTGCTTGCTAGTTCACATCTTCTCGAGGGAATCAAATGGGATCTGGCAATGAGGTTCACTCGATTGGTGAGTTCAATTTAGATGCTCAATGGTTGATAGATCCCAAGCAATTATTTGTTGGGCCAAAGATTGGGGAAGGTGCACATGCCAAAGTGTACGAAGGAAAGTAAGTCAAACTCAATTGTTTGATTTTCGTTTCTGTTTGAGCACTCAAATTTGGTTTTTGATCCCTCTGTCATGAAATTTTTCCCTTCTTGTTCTTCAGAATCGTCTCGGAATTTGTTTTGATTTATAAGCCAGTCATATCTTGCTTATTCTTTTGCGTCTACCATTATTCTTATCTAGATTTAAAACAATCGTATCATAGTCACAGCTTGTACGGCATATCTTATACGTATTCTGCATCCTCATGATCTGATTATTTTCTGGTTTGGTGCCTTATTGTTGCGGGTTTTCTTGATTGCAGATATAAAAATCAGAATGTTGCAGTTAAGATTATTAATAAGGGAGAAACCCCAGAAGAGATCTCAAGGAGAGAGGCTCGTTTTGCCAGAGAGGTTGCCATGTTATCGAGAGTTCAACACAAAAATCTGGTTAAGGTTGTTGATCTGTTATCCAAGAACCTAAACAGTAATTATTTCAATGTAAAATTGATAAGTAGTAAATGGGATGGTTAATAGACTTATAATTAAGGTGAATTGGATCTTAAAAACATGCTGAGCTTGTTGAGCTAGCCAACTGGGCATCAAACTTATCTCACTAAAGCGTCCATTTGTGGCTGATGCTAGTTTATCGGTGCCTGCAAAGAGCCTGTCATGGTGATAGTGACTGAGCTTCTATTAGGTGGAACATTACGCAAATTTCTCTTGAATATGCGCCCAAAGAGCTTGGATATGCACGTGGCAGTTGGATTTGCTCTTGATATTGCTCGAGCAATAGAATGTTTACATTCCCATGGGATCATTCACCGTGATCTTAAGCCTGGTATGCCTCCATGCATGCCGTGCTTCTAAATCATACTTTGTTTTTGCTGATAGGACCTTATAAAGAAGATTGAAAACTTGCACTAGTTTGATTTAGTGAATACTTGAATCGTGAGTAAGATACAGATACTGTTGTCACTTGATAGGGATAACTGACCTTAGTTAGACCTTTAAGAAACTGAAATATGACTTCTTATCTTTATTGGTTGCCATGCACCACAGATTATTTGATCTCTTTTTGGATACTTGTTTGTTACTTCATTGTAAAGTTATTGTTGACTGTTGATCTGAAAATCCAAGCCTGCACCTTTACTTCAGTTATGAGTTTCTCTCTCTCTCTCTCTCTCTCTCTGCGCGTGTGCGTGTGCGTGTGCGCATGTGTCATGAAGATCATGATGATCAAATAGACCTTTGATTGTAACAAGTGCATGTCCAGTGCTTGTCTCATGTGATTTCTGGTATCATCTGTTAGGTTTTAGCACAATCATAGAAGAGCAAATATTTGAAGTTTCACATCGAAACCCTGCTTCCATTTGGTTATTGATCTTGGGCTGTCTCTTCTATGTGTTTCGAGTTGTAATCTAAAGAATTACAGTATTCAGGTCATTCATGCACGGATAGGTTTTATTCTAACTCTTTGTTTCGATGGGAAGAAAAATAAGGAGGGAAAATTTCTAAAAATAGTACAATTTTTTTTTTATACTATTTTTGGAAATTTCTCCTCCTAGTATTTTATCCTCCTTTTCCCCCCCTACTTTTCCCTCCATCCAAACCAAGCCTAAGTGTCCACATCTCCCTTATTTTTCCCTAAGTGTTGTAGGTCATTGGTTTTAAGTCGATTGAGAGTAGAGGCTACATGATAATGTGAGGAATAGAACATCTCAATAACACAACTCTCAATCTCGTTTCTTGATGAATGATAGAAAAGCGAGGATAATTCTAATAGCGTTTTTGCTATTTGTTTTCAGAGAACTTGATCTTGACAGCAGATCATAAAACAGTTAAACTTGCTGATTTCGGTTTAGCCAGAGAAGAGTCATTAACAGAGATGATGACTGCCGAGACAGGGACGTATCGCTGGATGGCTCCTGAAGTACTTCTTTCTGGAAAATTTTAAACATTTTATTAATTTTCCATTTAGGTGGTTCTCATTAGAAAATTCCTCATTACTTCCCTGGTTCAATGGCAGCTTTACAGCACTGTCACTCTGAGACAAGGCGAGAAGAAGCATTATAATCATAAGGTGGATGCTTACAGTTTTGCAATCGTTTTATGGGAGCTCATCCATAACAAGTTGCCTTTTGAAGGCATGTCTAATCTACAGGCAGCATATGCAGCTGCTTTTAAGGTACATCACTCTAGTGCTTTACTTTAAATGATCTGAGAACTTCATTAGTAGAACAAAAACACAGAAAATTACATATTTTATTGATATGGAATGTTTACTTCACTGTTTCAGAATGTAAGGCCAAGTGCTGAAGACCTTCCTGAGGATTTAGCTCTGATTGTGACTTCATGTTGGAAAGAGGATCCGAATGATCGACCAAATTTTAGTCAAATCATACAGATGCTTCTTCGATATCTCTCCACTATTTCGCCCCCTGAGCCTGTTGTTCTTATGCGAATGGCTTCATCTGAGAACGCTGTACTGCCACCAGAATCTCCTGGTACAAGTGCTTTAATGTCCAGGAGAGATGACTCTGGAGAAACCTCAAAAGAAGATGACATGGAAGACAGGCCTAAAAGTTTTTTCTTCTGCTTTAACCACTGCTACTGATGGATCAAGAGACATGATCTCACCATTGGGGCCATCACAATCACACTCAGGCAACCTGAATAAACCAGATTCACCGAATATCACCACTAGATTCTTAATAAAGCAATGTTAACTATCATCAGATACTTGTTTAGTAGCAATTAGCAACCGGGGAGGTACCATGCATCCATGTTCAATCAAAGAATTGCATGTTCTGTATCTTTTAACATTAAGTTCTCTTCTGACTGATATCCAAAAGATACTAAAAAAGGTTTTGGGGTTGAGGTTGCTGAGATGTAATACTATTGTAAAATAAGGTTCGTCCAAAGGCCTTCACCTGCTGTTTATATGTATGATTTTGGCATGGTTTATCAAAGTTAAAAAAAGAGAGGAGAAAGTTGTTTATATTGGCATCCAGGTGTTTCAATAATTGTCAGAGGAATTTGTGTAACCTCACCATAAGAAGATGAATCAAATCTAGAATCATTTTCTATTTTCCATCTCTGTTTATGAATAGATTATCCCGTGATACATCTTTCTGGGGCTAATATTAGAACAAAATTTAATCGTGCTTCGGTGATCATCATCCCCAATTTAATTGATTTCTTTGTGATTGATGGAAAGAATGGTTATTATTTAATAAATCTACAGGCACCTCGCTAGAGCGTCCGCTCCAATAACAATGCGGATACCTCTTATGGAATTATTAAAAAGAAAAAAAAGAGGAAGAATTAAATTGAAATGCAAATCGAAGGGGGAAAAAACCTCGGAGTCGTTTTTGTTCTCGTCGCTATCAGACCTGACGCGTGCCACTTTGAAATGGAGAAGCCGTGGGCATGAAGACGAAAGTCACCCGGAAGAGAAATAAAAATAACATCTCGCCGTTGCCGGGGATCGAACCCGGGTCGCCCGCGTGACAGGCGGGAATACTCACCACTATACTACAACGACATGTTGACATTGGGTGAACTGTAAATTGTTTTTAATTAATTTTTTTGCATGCGCCCATTCGCACTCGCAGGCCAGCGTCATGTGCGAAATGATGAGGGGTATAATAGAGAATGCAGCGATCTTAGCAACGTTCATCTGTTTGGCTTGGGGAGCAAGCCAGTAATGTCCCCACTTAAATTTACCATAATGACACCATAATCCCCCGCATTTTCCATAATGACACTTCTCGGTTTCCTAAGCTCCATCTGTCCGACAGCCGTCAACAAAAGCCCCAATGTTCCACTCTCCGAAGCAGAGCCTCGATGAGGTTCGGTCAACGGCGGGTGCTTCCGAACCTTAGCTTCTGTCCTAATTCAATGATATGTGGAATGAACACGGTCAACTTCAAAGCATACGTTCGGTTACGAGCCTCATGTGACCGGTCTATTTGGCCCGAACCCAATGGAGAGTTTTCCCGCCCACTACCACTGTCTCGTCCGGTGTTTCTTACTCACTTGCTTACTCGCCCAAGCAAAAGGAAGGCTTAAATACACGGAAACTTCTTCTCTCTCACTGTCTCCCTCCCTCTCCTTCCCTCTCCCCCCTTCTCTCTCTAGAGTCTCGAATGCGATTTTGGTGCCATCTTTTCGCTCTTCGATAGCATGGCTAGGTGAGCTTAGGATTAGCAAAATGGTGAAATTTGAAGTTTGAAGGGAGATTTCGTTGGTTACTGTTACTCGTAGAAGCTTGCTGGCTTTGGTTTTTTTTTTCAAAGTCATTGTTCGATGTTTATGGGTTCGAGTCCTCGATTGTTTTGATGGATGACAATGAAATTTTCTTCCCGGTGTTTTCGAGGGTTTGTTTTGGAAAATGATGACAGAGGAAGGTTGTCCTATCGAGGATTTTATTTCCTCGTTGTTTTGGGATAAGTACTGGGGTAAGGTGTCAAATCAGATGGGTTTGGGTTTCGGCTTTTTCGGTTGAAGGCTGACAATGGATGAATGGCCTGTTTTGCTTGCAGAAATGTAGTTTGCGGGCATTCTGACATCCCCATTCGGGGTTTTCTGATTCTTCCTTCTTGGAATCAGTCTAATAGCAGTTAGCAGCTAGTAATCCATCGAAGTGACGTATACCTTTTGTCTCATGTCTAGCTTATGCTCATTTTTTATAGGAAAATCTTGGGTGAACCGCAAATGACAATGCAGAGCTTCCCTGGAGAATATTTGCCCAGTTATTTCTTAAATCTGATATAAAAAAAAAAAAAGAACCTTGCAAACACACACACACACACACACACAAAGTATTTCTTAGTGCTTTTCTTCTTTACCACTCTTATGCTTACCCTTCTCTTGGTTGGAGAGTTGGACGGATTTGTGGAAACCATGAACCGTATATAGTGCATGTTCTTGAGTTAAACTCAAGTTTGATACCTCGCTATAAAATAAACGAAGTTTCACTCTCATTAAAGGTTTATTTTGAATCTCTTCGTCCTCGGGATTTTTTTGGTTTCTGAGCAGCCAATTTTACTTTGTTTGTAGTTGCTTGTCTTGCACACGGTTTTTGTCAGCAAATATATTTTCATTTTTATTCATTTCAGTGTTCTTTCGCTATAAAAGTTATCATGGGGAATGTTGATCTAATAAAATTATTTGTTTACCAGGAGCTGGCTTATTGATGTTGGAGGGTTTGCCAAGAAAGTGAAAAGCAGTTCTCTGCCCTCAGCTGAGCAAATCAAAGACTGTGGGGCATATCGTCAATGTCCAAATTGTCATTGGCATATTGATAATAGTGATGTATGCTGGAATTCCGCCTTATTATCATTCACAGCTCATTATTGGCTTTAATAATACTATGTGCACCACAGACTCAGCTCTTGTAGTAAAGCTCTTCGTATTTCTCTAATATTTGCGCTTGTTCTAACTGATGTAACCTTTAATTTCTTAATTAAGGCATATACTCTGTTAATACAAGATTTGAGTTTTGTTTGTACAGAAGTTTGGAAATTTTGCCGTCATAATTAAGTTCTGCAAACATTCTAGCAAGTGTTGACTGGTTGTGGATGTCTAACAGATACTACTTTCCCTTTGCAGGTTTTTCCTGATTGGCCTGGCTTTCCTGCTGGTGTAAAATTTGATCCTTCTGATATAGAACTCTTGCACCATTTAGCAGCAAAATGTGGCATTGGAAATGCAGAGCCACACATGTTTATCCATGAGTTCATTCCAACGCTGGAGGGTGCTGAGGGGATTTGCTACACTCATCCTGAGAATCTTCCAGGTGAGGATTACTGAACTTAATTTTTCAGACATGCAATCAGTTACCAGTCCTGGTAAAATAAAGTAAACTGATCAAGCCAGAGACATGTAAAGGAAGTCTGTTTAAACAAATTCTTACGGGCAATGGTGATAGGTGACGGTGTCTTGTAGGATAGGTTTTTTTTTTTTTTTGGGGCCATATCTTGTAGAATAGGTTGTGCATGAAGGACAGAAGAAACATATAATTGTAAAATTTACCACTTCAGGACTCATAATTTGGACAATGACAGCTTACCATGAGAACAAATAAAAGTCTAGCACACTGAATTATGAATCAAATTTTCAATCAGTCGCTAAGAGATTTCTTTCCTTTACTGGGCCTTTAACTTACCACGTGACTCCCAAACCTTATTGAAGTTTAATAAATGCTAATTTGACTGTTGTTTTAGATACATAACATCATGATTTTACCCTTGCTTCATTTTAGGGGAGTGGGTGAAGATAAGCGTTATGATTGCTATTTTACTAAACTTCACAAGTTATTGGCATCTTTGCATGATCAGTTTGGCATTCCCTTCCGCATGCTCTGATTGCTCAATTTTCTCAGGATTCTTGGCTCTGGCTAAGTCCGAGCGTAGTGCAACTTTCTGGAATTATGCCTAAAAAAGTAACCTGTTTGTTTCAGGTGCTAAAAAGGATGGGAGTAGTGTCCATTTCTTCCATAGAACAATTAATGCCTATACTTGTGGTCAACGAAAGCGTCGAAAAATTCATCATCATCATGGTGCAACTGAGGAGCATGTGCGGTGGCACAAGACAGGTAAAACCAAATCTGTAGTGGAAGATGGCCTACACAAAGGCTTTAAAAAGATCATGGTTCTTTATGTAAGACCTGAGAAAGGTTCAAAGCCATATAAATCGAATTGGGTGATGCATCAATACCATCTGGGGACTGAAGAAGAGGAGAAGGAAGGTGAATATGTGGTCTCAAAGGTTTTTTATCAGAAGAAGCAGCTTGAGAAAAATGAGGAGAATCCATTAGTTGAAGAATCAGATAATATGGCATCACGAACAAGTCCAAGAACCCCAAATCCAAATCCCCGCAATCCACCTCGACCAGGAAATTCTGCTGACTGTGATGATAATTTTGATGAAAAAGTACTCCTGTCATTCAATAAGGTAAGTACCAAAATGTTTATATGACAATCATGTAACTTAGGTTGATTATTTTGCAAGAAAAAGGAAAAATATAGATCACATTTAATATTGTATCCAAGAATCAAGCATATTCACAGTGCATTCATTTAAGTAACGATTGACACAAAAATTCAGTGAAGTTATCTTGATTTTCTGTGAACTTCTTTTAAGTAGTATTTAAAGTGGAAAAATGGTCGTAGGACAGATTTATACTCAATAAATTGAATGTATCTCACCCATTGGTTTATTGTGAATTTTTTTTATGTTTAGGATGCCGAGTCTGTCCCTGGAGAGCCAAGTGCACCGGCAATTGATGTTCAGGATGAGGATAATACGAGTGGCCCTGCATGGTTGGCTGGTGAATCACAGGCTGCTGAAAACTCTGACTTTGATGGCTTGGATGACATATTATTGTGCAAGGAGATCTTAGATTCTTCTGCTAGACTAAATGATTCTGGAATGAACTCCACCATTGTTAATGGCTTTGCCAGCAACACAAACTTGTCAGTTGGAAATGACAATGCATCCTTTGGAATCTCTGACCTGGATAACTTGGAATTGGATACTCCTCCAGATTTCCAACTTTCTGTAAGCTCCTAATCGCACTCACTCCACTTATAGAACTTACCAGTATATGAATATGCTATTTGATTCTCATTTTTCTGGCAGAACTTGCAGTTTTGTTCTCAAGACAGTATACTTGACTGGATAGACAGACTATGATTCTCATTAAGCTCCCTGTAACTGTTCTATTCACTCACCTGTATAGTATGTTCCTTTATGTTCCTTGTTCAGTTTCAACGATTTATTTATTTTTGGATGATACAAAGAAAGGATAAGAAGCTGACTTGTCATGATTTTATTCTTACAGGCAGAAACATTACTGGCTATCTCAGGTTCCTAAACTCTTTCGGCTTCCCATTAAGTTGACTCTGGAGTTTGAGCACTCTGCATGAGGGTGGTGTTTACATGAATTTGTAGTTGAACTGTGACTCGTTATGTGCAAGGCATGGAAGTGGCATGTTGATCTATATTGTAATGTATTGCGTGTTGAATGTATGTAAAGATTACCAGCAAATTGGCTGAATATTACCAATTATGCTTCTTTAATTGATAATATGGGAAATTGTGTGTCAATTTCACAAGAGCAAGCAATCAGTCCTTTCTCATGGCTATGAAGGGACATTTCGAATTTTAGATATTCGAAAGTTTTTTTAGAGTAAAAATCTCAGGCATTCCTAGACCTGGTGGCTATGGAATGCACATTTGCATTGTGGTATTTATATACCTGAACTTAGTTTATTGTCAATCTATTTTTCAGAAATAGTTTACTAATGAATTCCAACCCATGTTTGATTACTATGGATAAAAATGTAACATGTAAGAATCCGCAAGGATATTTATCTGGTGGTGATAAATTGTGCTAGTCGCTATTAGGATTCATCACATTACAAAACTTTGAAATTTGTCCTTGAATAATTTGAGTTGAAATGAGTGAGTTTGAGAGGACGTCTCTTTTTGCTTCAAGTCAGATGTGCTGCCCCACACCTGTTATAAATAGAATAATGACTTTTATAATTTGCAAAAGAATTCATGATTTTATTGATGGCACCGTTTTTTCAAATGGCCATTTTATCATTTTAATGGCCCCAATATGTAGTTATTTTTGGTCAATTTATATCTATATATGCGAGCAAAATCTAAAGAAAGTCATTTCACAATAACCATAACATGAAAACGATGCTAGTTAAGTTAAATTAGAAAAAGTTTAACAGGTAGAGGGATTAAATTATTCTGAAAAAAACTGTTGACAGGTGGAAATGAGAAATTACGTGCGGATGTGACATTGAAATTTTTGTAAATTTTCGAGGACAACATAAGAATATTTGTTATTTTTTATTACAAAACAAGAATTAAAAAAAAAAAGAAAATTTTCATTAGGTGCCTTCGGCAAAATTTCCCAATCTTATTAAACCCCAAAATACGTTTTTTTTTTTTTAAAATCTTGGGTCCATGAATCAAACCTGTGTTTCGGGCCTTTCGGCCTTTGTATGTATTGGCAAACCCAACCTAAAAGCTAAAACCCTCAGAAACCGAGCGTAGAAAACTCAACGGTGCTGGAAGAGCATGAAATCAAGAGAAAGCAGAAGCGAGTAAACTGATTCAAACAAAAAGCTCCTTAACAGGCCAATGTTTGCTGCAAGAAATTTACAGAGGCATTGCTTGAAGTTCTCATACTCTATCCTTCAATCTAATCTCTCCAAGTATGTATTTGCTGTGTCATCACTCTCCCTTTTTTACTTTTTGAACTGAGAAAATGGAAAAGAGAAGTCACAGTAATGTCACCTTGTGTCTTAGATAATAGAATTAATTGAATTCATTATGACTCCCGTCGAAGCTCGGACTTTCACAGTGATAAGAGCCATTTCTTTCTCATTTTTTTTTGGGTGTATACCAGTTTTCGTGTACAGTCTGCCTGGCCAAATTCTTTGAGGTTGAATGGGCTTTTATCTTTCATTTGTTCAAACAAAGAAACGGATTTCGACTGTTTTTTTTGGCTGCATCTGATCCAAGTTCATAAGTTATCGTTGTGCTTTTTTCTCTTTCGCAGAATTCTACTTTTTGCCCCTGAAATTTAACTCAGGCTGTCTTCGAAATTTAATATGGTTTAACATTATCTGTATAGTTTAAAAAATGGTCCGATATCGTCATTTTCTCTGATGTTGCTGCTTAATAAGTGTTCGATTTTATGGGCTGGATTCTGACGGCATAACTCCCATCCAACATAGACCTAAACTATCCTATCTTGCTTCTTATAATACCAAAAGATCATGCTCTGTCATTTTCATCCATGCCTTATTCTGCACTCTGCAGTCTAAAAAGTATAGGTTTGAATGGGATTGAGTTACCTTGTCAGACTGTCAATGTTTTGCTCAACTAGTAATTTATGATGCCGCAATGGATGCTTCTGTTAACAATTAGAAGAATGTTGCCCTCTCTATTTTTCATACAATAAAAATCTCATGGAAGAGATTTACTTCTTGCTAAATTCAAATTTTTCCTAGTTTGAGTGAAGATGTTGATTTGTCTAGGTTAAAAGGTTCAGATTTTTTTTCCCATTTTCTTTGGATTTGTGGAAAAAATAATTTTTGCTGCTCAACGAATCTATTTTTTTTTTGTTTCTTTTATCTTGTTAGTCTTTATTCATTCAACATAAAACTGGAAGACTGCTCAATCAATGTACTTGATTTGCATTGTATATTATGAATTTCAATTTATGAAATTGTACGGTACTTATATAATTTTATCATTCTGAGCAAAATAGAGTTCTGTAGCTTCACTGCCCCCCCGAGAGAGAGAGAGAGAGAGAGAGAGAGAGAGAGAAGGAAAAAAAAAACCTCTTTAAGCTTAAGACTAAAGCTGATTCTATTTATTTTTGCTCAGGAATGGTATATCTTTAGGACCTACATCTCATCATGTATCAAGCAAAGTAATTCAGTCAGGCAGTGAAGTTACGTCTTATTCTTATGGCAAGCCATTGAATTCATTCAATATATCATCTCGAACAATGTCAACATCAAAAGGAAGAAGTATGCGGAGCAAGGTGGAAAGGCGAATGCAGAAAGAGTCTGGTAAAACTCTAAGGGAGATTCGTAGAGCTAAAAAATTGAAAAAGAAGCTAATGACTGAGGAGGAGAGGCTTATTTACAATCTTAAACGAGTACATTATCTATCCTTTCCTACTTGCTCTGACATCTGAGGCATGCCTAAAGTTCAAGTTATAGTTTGTGTGCTGTGGACTGGCGTGCATGTCAATCAGCTATTATAATTTTAGATGCTGCATACTCTATTCTACTTTTATTTATTACTTTGCATATGGATATGCAGCTTTTAACAGAGTTGTATTACATGAGTTGCCAGATCTTAGATTTTCTTACATAAAAGGGGCAAGCTCATTTAGTTCCACAGTGACAGATTCGTACTTGTTAATGACAATTTTTTAGGTAGTTGAAAATTATGAGATGCAGGGGACCTCATTTAGGTAGCTGGACTCAGATTGATATTGAATGATCTTGTGCTAGAGATTCTCCATCTTTCTTCATTAAAAAAAAAAAAAAGATATGCCATCATTAGTTTTAAATTTGTGTTTTTTTACTTTCGATTTGGATTATGCATTGCCTTTGATTGTTTGGTGATTTGCTTTTTCTACCTATATAATGATAATCAAATGGCATATTTCAAGTCTATATAACTAACAGATTGCACGTTTGTACTACTTGATATATTTTCACTCGGTTATATCCTAGCTCTTATATAATCTTTCATTTATCACCTTCCTCCCTTCCAATTATTGCAGGCCAAGAAGAAAGTAGCATTGCTCCTGCAAAAACTCAAGAAATATGAGCTTCCAGAATTGCCTTCTCCTCGACATGATCCGGAGCTCTTAACACCTGAACAGCTTCAGGCATATAAAAAGATTGGTTTCAGGAATAAGAACTATGTTCCCGTTGGTGTACGAGGAGTTTTTGGTGGTGTTGTGCAAAATATGCATCTTCACTGGAAGTTTCATGAGACTGTTCAAGTTTGCTGTGACAACTTCCCCAAGGAAAAAATCAAAGAAATGGCCACAATGCTTGCTAGATTGAGTGGAGGTATTGTGATAAATATCCATAATGTGAAAACAATTATTATGTTCCGTGGCAGAAACTATCGCCAGCCCAAAAATTTGATACCTATTAACACCCTCACAAAGAGGAAGGTAGGTTTGCAATGTCTTGTCTATTTATTTATTTGAGCTACACCACTCTACTTCGACATCTATAATTATATCCCAACCTATTATGTTATCTGCAGTGCTTAAGTTACCCAGAGGTTGACTCTACAAATATGAATTATTTGCTTTAGGCCTGAAGTTATTGAACAATATGTAGTAGCTTAGCACTGTTTGTTACCCTGGAAAAAGATAAAATTCTTGCCTGATTTTTAGAGTTTGTGATGGTAAGATAGCCAATACGAATGAAGTTTCTAAATAGATGTAGCTAAAAAAAGAGCAATTTTCTTAAACCATCCCGTACTTGAACCAAATAGGTGCTGAAGACAGTGTGTGAATGATTGATAAATCATGGAATAATTTAATTGAGCTTTCTCTTTTGGAGAAAGCCCAACCTCTCTTAAGAGGTAATGCTCTCCATAAAATTACCCTAAGTGAAATGATCATATTTTCCATAGCCACCTAATGAATATATTGACATGTTCGAATGTGATCAAGAGACTAAAGACCCTGCTTAGTTTTACTGTAATAAACACCTATTTTTCCATTCTCCATTATGGTCTCCAGTTGTGATGTCCGTTACTGCAAGAATTTGATTTTTGCATAAGTAATATATTTGTCTGTCGCATGCAGGCTCTTTTTAAGGCCAGATTTGAGCAAGCTCTTGAATCTCAAAAGTTAAACATAAAGAAAATAGAGCAGCAGCTACGGCGGATGGGTGTAAATCCTGAGGATCCAGCTGCCATGGCCAGCATCCAGAGAGTTGCTTCAACATTCTTCAATGCTATTGACAAGAAAGAAGGGAGCCCTTATGTTTTTCATGAAGGCAAACTGTCAGCTAAAGAAACTGTTGAAGATTTGGAAGAGCCAGGGCCTTCTATTGATAGTGACCAGGAAGAGCTAGACCGATTCATTGCCGAGATAGAAGAAGCTGCAGATAAAGAATATGAAGCTGAAGAGGCAAAAGAAAAAGAAGAACTTGGCAGAATGAGGTATTGGAACAGAGAAGAATTTGGAGGAAGATTCAGAAAATTTGATGTTTCTGGAAATGATGATCATGATGATAAGGTTAGAGGTTCAAGGTTTCGGCAGACTGCGCATGCTAAGCAGCAGGCTAGTGATAGTGATGTTGAAAACAATATACTGTCTGATGATGATGATGATGATGATGACTATGATGGGGAGTGGCTTGCCGATCCTGACAGTAATTCTGATGACTTTAGTGAGGCTAAAGGCAGGTCCAAGGTCAGTAGGGTGGACAGGGAAATAAGAAATAACTTTGGCAAGACCCAAGGTAACGGAAGTTCAAATAGAGACGAAGGTAAACTTAGGAGAAATTCAACCATAGATGATTCTGAATCGGAAA